AAAAAAAAAAAAAAAAAAAAAAAAAAAAAAAAAAAGAAAAAGAAAATAAATGCACTCTCTTCTCCCCAAATCACAAATCTATAACCTAAATAATAACAAATAATACGTTTTTAATATAAAACTCAGCATATAAAAATTGTGTGTGCAGCCCGGCATGGGGTACATTCCTATAATCCCAGCACTCTGGGAACCTGAAGCAGGAGGATCACAAGTTCAAACCAGCTTAGACAATTTAGTGACTCAGTGAGACTCCATCTCAAAAATTTTTAAAAAGAGGGGCAGTGGGGAGGAGGGAGATATAGCTCAATATGAAGTCCCCAGTACCCCCCAAAAAAATGTTTACAGTAACTATGACAAAGTTTGTGTGAAATTACAATTATTCCAAAGTAGCCTGAAATACCATAAATTAAAAGTCCCATAAAATGACACAAAATTTTGTTTTTTGTTTTTTGAGACAGGGTCTCACTATGTAGTTGAGACTGACCTGGAACTCACTATGTAGCCCAGGCTGGTTTTGAACTCACGGCAATCCTCCTGCCTCAGTCTCCCAAGTGCTGGGATTATAGGTGTGCACCATCACACCCAGCCAATGACACAAATTTTTTAAAACCACAAAAATTTACATGTTCTTTTAAACAGTGACTCTCAAACTTTTTAAACCACATTTATTCCATGAGATAACTTAGCCAATATTTTAGTCATCTACCAACATGACTTATCATCATCAAAATAATAAATGAGGATAACAGCAATATATACAGTGAGAATCCTACAAGAATAAATCGTAATTTTAAACTCATAACAGGATAACATAAGCAGCCTTATCTTTTGAAGATTAGTATCACACAAAATATTTTCTACTAATCAGAAGGTTGGTCCCTGAGGTCAGAAGATCAGGTTTCAAATCCCAGCTCCTTCATTTGCTATGCTTATTTGGCTACAAGGCACCTAAGTCTCAGTTTCATAGATAGATACCAAACAGATAATGCTATAGGTCCAATAAAGCCCTAATAAAATTGTCATTTTTGAGTAATTGCTAACACACTAGATACTAGGAATTACCAGGAATAAAGCAGTAAACAAACTATAACAACTTATAATTAACTCACAATAACTAATTAGAATTCTAAGTGAGAAGCAGGAAGTGCTGTCTGAACACTTGCTAGAGCACCTGACCTGACCTTCTGAAGGCTTCAAAAGGAGAGGTGCATGTGCGTGTACCTCATTTGATCCTCACAGTTCGAAAAACTCACTAAGTCTTTTGTAACACAACACTTTCCTTTAACATTTCAACTTATTTTGTAGAAAACTGGAACAGAATGAGGAAAAAGAGAAAAAAAAAAGTGAGCACAAACTTAGCAGGCATAGACTCTACCGATAAATAACAAGAGGTAAGGGAAGTGCACAGTGCCACTTCCCAGGCTGTTTCCACTCCCTGCCCAGTAAGGCTGACTCTGCCAGGGCGGAGCTGCAGAAGACCTAGGCCAGCGGCACAATGTCACTGGTTGGCTCTCAAAGCCACGGTAAAAGCAAGCCCCAGATCTCATCTGCACCTGTCTCCTCCCCTTGCCTTTCCTTTGCCTTATGAATCAGTCCAGTCAGATTTAAGTCAGAAAGGAGAAGAAAGGCCCAGAGCATGCCTCTTCAGGGCTACAGACCTGGCTGCCACCATGTTCGGTGTCAATGTACCGTGGCATTGGGAACCTGGAGTGCAGGATCTCCTGCGCGTCGTCCACTGGAGCCTGAAGAAGGTGCCGGAAGTTCTCATACTCCGGCATGTCCTGGTACCCCGATTTCCGCCACTGTGCTATGGTCTAATTTTAAAACAGTTCAAGAAATTATTTTAAATCACTTGCTTACTCACCTAAAAATCCTAAAATATTTTTTCAAAGAAAGTGATCTCTAAAAAATAAAATTATTGAAAAATTTATCACAATTTTTACAAATACTAATTTAAACAGAGAAAATATTTTTAAGTAAACAGATACAAATTAGGACATTCCTTCATCTTTAAAAGTAAAACAAAGCCAGGCATAGTGGTGATACATGCCAGGGAGGCTGAGGCAGGAGGATCACTTGAACCCAGGAGTTTAAGAGCACCCTGGGCAAGACAAAATTACATTAAAGGCCATGTGTCTATTCTATGTATATGTCAAGCATTCACTTTCATAACACTGTGCCTTGTGTAAAGCCCATTTGTCCAACTGTGTCTTGACAAATGAATAAAATTGCAATTGAAGCCTGAAAACCTACATTAGGAAGAATCACATTTTATACATATAGGTCAAGTTTTTTTTTTTGGTACCAGGATTGAACTCAGGACCTTGCGTTTGCCAGGCAGATGCAGCACCACTGAGCTACAGCCCCAGCCCTGGGTCAAGTATTTCTTGTCCAAACTGTTTGGGACCAAAAGTATTAGATTTTGGTATCTATGGATTTTGGAAAATATGCATATATACATGATGAGATACCTTGTGGACAGGACCCAAATGTAAACACAAAAGTTGTATTTTATATAATACTTATACACATAGCCTGAAGGTAATTTTATAAATTTTTTTTAATAATTTGGAGCATGAAACAAATTTTGTGGTGTGGAATTTTCTATTTGTGTTGTCATATTGATGCTCAAAAAGTTTTGGACTTAGGAGTACCTTTGATTTTAGAGAATTGAATTAGGGAGGTTCAGTCAAAATCAAGGTTTATAAGAGCCCAAACACTAGCTATATCATACAGGGCAAAACTTCTCTGAGTGAAAAAGACTTTCCAGGCATTGGTTTAAATGCTACAGAATCTTACCTCACCGTGATAGATCAAAATCTGGAAGAACGTGTCCATGAGAAGAATGCGATCTGCGAGAATGCTGCTGCTGTCCAGGAGAACGGGCTGCCGTGGAGAAAACCATGAGAAATGAGGAAAAGTAAGCTGCATAACATCACAAAACAGACCTTTTGGGGAAATCTTCTGAATTTTAATTTTACATTTAAAATCTCTTGCTTTTATGATTTATCACAGTGCATTTAATTTTCTGAGGAATCTCTATAAACAAATGATTAAAAAAACAGAGTCAGGAGGAATCAAGCATGACTTGATGGAGGCAGCGCTGAGGGAACTGGGAGAGGCTTGGGACAGAGCAAATTTAGGGCACGTGGGAAACAATTAGACATATGAATGAAACGGAGTGGCCTGAACTGAGAGCACACATTTGGGCATCACAGGCACAAAAATGGCAATTAATTATGGGGTTTCACTGCATCGTTCAGAGAAAGGGAGGAAGGAAGCCCCAAAGGCTAAGCCCTGTGGTGTGCCGATACTTAGAGGTCTGCCAAAGGAAACTGAGAAGGAAACCTCCATGAGTAGGAGGAAAACCAGGCAGGAACAGCAGGTGCCAGAGAGCCCAGAGCAAAAGGTTTTCGAGGAGAGAACCTTCACTAGGCAGATGATGTTGACAGGTTACTGAGGCAAGTTGTTGAATCACATTTTCTACATCTTATATTCTCAAAGGACCAAAGGAAAATGAGATTATGTTAAAACAAGAGATTTTGTTTAGGCTGTTGTAATTATCAGATACTAAACTCTGAAATGAGCTACAGACTATAGAATCATAATCACTTCTGGACATTGTTGAAGACAAAAATAATAATCGTACCTGCTAGAGGATTTGGTAGACCAAATAGCTAGACAAAGTGATCTAGAAGTCTGTCCTACCATATCTTTAGATTGATGATTTTCTAATATAATATACCTAGTATTTAAAAGTATTCATAAATATAAGTGAACACATGAATAGCTTGACACAATCATTCACTAAATTCTTAAATTCAACAACTATATTACCAAAAAGAACTTAGTTACTTTTGCTTTTTTAATGCTACTCAAACAATAACAAGACCAATCAACTTTTTTCCTGCTTCTCTTTACCTCTGGTGGTCCACTAAAAGAATATGCGTACAGAATAGGCTGAATCATGATTAGAGACTGGGTCAGATCCTGACGCATAAAATGGTGACGATAATATGAACTCTCATCAGGACTGTTGTTAAAAATTTGCAAGAAAGGAGATCTTCTTAAATGAAACATAAACTGCAAGATAAAACATATAAGAGCTTTTATTAATTTTAATATTACTATAGGAGTTTAGTATTAACAAAAGCTTTTGATTACAACTATGTATTAACACAATAAAACAAGTTATAAGAATATTTGGAAGTGTATTCCCCAGAAAGAAACCTTGTTCATATTTATCAGCTGCTTAAAAATATAATCCTATGACAAGAAAAAAAATCAAGACGTGACTCAAAAAAAAAAAAAAATAGGGATAAAAACCTGGTTGCTCAAATCTAAGGGACAGAGGAGGGAGACAGGAAGGAAAGGGAAGAGTGAAGACTTCAGTCAAATACTCAGGCTAACACCTTCGTGCTTTTTACTATTAGTTTCTATATAAAGATGAGGCCTCAGAATTCCCAAAACAGAAAGAATTTTCCATAGCTTAAGATAAACAGACCCTGCCTCTCCTGGTTCTCTGAAACTTCTTTAGAAGTCTGTAGACATCTCCCTGTATAACAATGGAGTTTCTAGATTACAGATCAATAAGGATTGAATGAATGAATACTGTAAAAAGAAAGCTAGAGTTTTTACGGGCAAAAACTTGAACTTCCACATCGCAGCATTAATCATCCCTCTAGTTTGAGCTAAAATGCCAAGTCCTATAAAAAGATGTAACAAACCATCCACCTGAAAAGTTTTCCTCAGATTTTGTATACCTTTCAAAACATGTTTCTCCTTCTCTCCTGTTTTGTTCGGGTGTGTCTCAGATCTCACCCTGGAGACTGAAGCTCTTTAAAGTGGCATCCACGTCACCATCTTTGTCCTCCTAAAGTCCTCTGCATGCTGCACTCAGCTAAATAAGTATCTCTTATTTATTATATAAAACCAAGGCTTTTTAAAAATCTAATAAACTGTCAGATAAAGGGATAGAGTCCCCTGCTCCCAGTGATAAGATTCTATAAGGTAAATAAAATTAGTTCCTTTCTATTGGGCTGGTATGGCCTCATAAAACTGTTCTCGGGTGATAACTTAATGTAAGACTAAAATTACCTCATATCAAGTCTTTCTTGTCCACTGCAATTAGAAACCCTTGTGTATCAGATGGAAAGCTAGTTGGCCTTACACCTAACTGTACTCATGGTAAGGATTCAGAGTAAATACCTATTTACCACAAATAAATAACAAATTATGAAAATATTATATACTTTTGCTGAGTATTCACAGCACGAACATCAAATATATCCCCTAATTTATATAAACAAAAGAATAACTCAACAAAGTAAGACGAATAAAATATAAATAACAGAAAAGATGAGACCCAGTGCTACTGGCAACACAAGAAAACAACATGGACCTTTTATCTACTTACCTGTGGATAAAGGGAGAAAGTTTCTGAAAATCTGAAGGAACTTGGGTCATCTTTGTGATATTCTCCAAATTTCTGACACTAAATAAAAAATAAGGTTATTTCCTTTGGAGCATTACATATAAACCTAGCAAGACTCAGTACAACCAAAAGAAAATACCTAAATTTTAGAAGCAAATGTTACTTTGCCCCAGTACAATAACAACTCACCCTTAAATGTTTGGATTTTTTTTTAACTAAGTGCTTTGGAAGAAATAAAGAATTCCCAGATACTGACCAAAAAAACTTAACACGACCCTGAGACTTCATCAAAAAAGTTATTAGCCAACTGATGAAAGATATAATATCAAAATATCATAACAGGTACAAAAAGAAGTTGCTAGTAAAATAAAAAAAAAAGAAAGAAAGAAAAAGAAAACTGAGTTCCACAGGCAATCTGGTAAAAAAAAAGAACCCAAAGATAAAAAGTAGAAGGAAATACAGTAAAAAGGTCACACAATGTCAAGAGCAAAACAGACCCTCTCTGACAATGTGACAAAAGGCATCAAGGGGATTGAGTTAATCTACAAGAGAAACTGCCTCTCACAGTGACTGCCACTTACTGAAGCAATTACAGAATGTTAGCTTCTCCTACCTGTTCTTCAGCAAAAGTGCCTCTGCCCGTAAAGCACTAGTGTAAACGGTCTGTTTTCTGGCAATGTTTGTCAGAGTACTTAAATGAGTACAGGGCAAAAATAAATGAAATTGACAAAAGATTTAGTGCTACAAATACTGCCTGACCTCTGCTGTTCAGAATGTTCAGCTGTATCCTTTAAGAGTATATGTGTCTTACAGAGAAGGCAAAAAGGTATAACTGGTTTGATCTCATTTTTGGCTTGGAAAAATCATTTCAGAATCACACAGTTATCCAAGGATAGAAAAGCTAGAGTTGCAGAGGTAAACCTCAAAAGATACCACAGATCTGAGAATAAGAGTGTGGCTATCTTTAATGTTCCCTAAGAGATCACTGGTGAAACTTATGAATTAAAATAATCTTCACTGTCCAATTAAATAAAAATTAAAATTCAGTTTCTCTGTTGCACTAGCCACATTTCAAGGGCTCAACAGCTCCATGTAGTATCTCTGTAATGGACAGTACAAATAAGAGTAGTTCAATCACTGCAGAAAGTTCTGGACAATAATGATCTAGATAAGATATATACTTGGAAACGATCTGGAATACTAAATATAATGAAAAGATTTTGTGAAAAAGATAGTATGATAGACATGACATAGAACTATCGGTCCCATTACCTTAACTGTATATACATGTTAAATATGTCAAGGCTGGGGATTTAGCTCAGAGGGGCTGCACCTGCCTTGCAAGCACAAGGTCCTGAGTTCAATCCCTGGTACCAAAAAGAAAAGAAAAGAAAACTATGTCCAAAATTCTGTTAAGATAAAACATTAGGGGCCAGGGATTTAGCTCAGTGGCATTGTGCCTGCCTTGTAAGCACAAGGTCCTGGGTTGAATCCCCAGTACCATGAAAAAATTAATAATAATAATATATTAGGAAGCCAGGCACGGAGGTGCACGCCTATAATCCCAGCACTTAGGCTGAGGCAGGAGAACTGTTGCAAGTACAAGGCCAACATGAGCTACACAGTGAGTTCAAGGCCAGGAAATCTAATATAAAAATTAAAAACTGTTGACATTTACATGGGTATCTGGGTATGTCAAAAAGTCTACTTCCCAGAGTCTGGAGGACTCAGGAGGCGGAGGCAGGAGGATTGCTGCAAGATTGAGGCCAGCCTGGGCTACATACTGAGTTCAGGGCCAGCCTGAACTACAAAGGGAGACCTTGCCTCACAAAAAGGGGAAGGGGAAAAAATGAGAATCGAGACTTGTCATGTAGAGGTACAAGATCCCAACAATGAATGTAACTGTACTGTATCCCTAAAATGCACCAATAAACTCAATTAACTCTGGGAAAAAAAAAAAGTCTACTTCCCAATGTAGAATGTAGGATATATTTGATGCTTCTTTTTTTTGGGAGACAAAGTCTCATTGTGTTACCCAGGCTGGCTACAAACTCATGATCCTCCCATCTCAGCCTCCTGAGTAGCTGATATTACAGGCATGCACCATGAGGCCCAGCTAATATTTATTTATGTCCAAGATTTTTTGCTTTTATTTCAAACAGTTCTTTGAAGTCATTAAATGCTCTATTGCTACTTCATTTTTAACACCTGACTAGCATTCTGACATGCTGACTTATACCCTAACTATCCCAACCAATCCCTCATTATTGGCATCTACATTTGTCCTGTTGTATCATTAGGATAAATTCTTAGAGGCAGAATTTTCGAGTAAAAGTAGTTTTAAAGTCTCTGATTTGTCAACAACTTCCTCCTACACGTTTGGGTATAGAGATGTTTTTAAAAGCTATACAGGTTCATACACCAAACTTCCAAAATGAAAAGCTGTCCATTTCCCTAAAAACTGGCCAGCTCTAGCGCTTATCATGTTAGTCTTATTCTTACCAGTTTAAAATAGATTAAAAACTGCCTTGTTCTATTTAAGCAGGAAAAATAACTCTATTATATTTAATGGTCACTTGCATTCTTTAATTCCTTGTTCATGATCTTTGCTCATTTTTTGTCCCACCAACCTCCCCTTCTTTTTTCAGTAGTGGAGACTGAATCCAGGGTCTTCGCACTAATCCACAGCCCCAGTCCTTTTTTTTTTAAAGACAGTCTTCTCACTCACTAAATTGCTAAACTATCCAAGCCAGGCTGGAATTTCTTATGTACTCCTGCCTCAGCCTCCCAGAATGCTGGCGTTACAGGCACATACCACCCCACCTAACTCAAGAGGTTGTGATTTTTAAAATCCTGTTGGCTGAACTTTTTAATTTTTATTTCTGAGACAGGGCCTCACTATGTTGCCCAAACAGAATTTTAACCTGAGCTTCCCTACATGCTGGGATTTCAGGTGTGGGACACTGTTACTTGGCTTTAAACTTAGATCTTAATTCTCCATTTTTACATCATATGCACATCGTATGATGCCGGCCAAAGTGCAAGACAGACAGCAACCACACTGTCCTATTACTAGTTTCCATAGTGACCTTTCAGTCCTGCATGGCAGTCTGCTTTAAATCTTTCTTTTCCCACACTGGGGGATTGAGCCACAGCCTGTGTATGTTAAGTAGGTGCCCTATCACTGAACTACATCCCCAATCACATTGTGCTTGCTTCGGCAGCACGTACACTAAAACTGGATCATGTATGTCCCTCCAAGGCTTGGTCTCCAGGCCACAGCAGAATGGGAGTTGTCGGACACTGAGGCACGAGGCCAGATGAAGCTCTGTCAGTCCCCAAAGTTGTGCTTTGAAGGAGCCTGGGGGAACACCATCCCTTTCTCTCTCTCTCTGTCTCAGTTCTTAGCCATGAGACCTACAGCTCTGCTCCACCATCTTCTCCCTGCCACGGTAGATCCACTGCCTCACCACTGACCTAAAGCAACAGGGCCAACAACCATGAAACAAAACTTCCAAAACCATGAGGGGAAATAAACATTTTTTCTTTAAAATCAATTATCTCAAAAAGCTGGTAACACAACTATGTTTCTCTGGATAAGTCCATTCTCAGTCGGACCCAGATGAAGGAGGCACAGAACTGGTGACAGATTACACAAGAAGCAGGACGGGAGTCGGGTAGCATGGGCATCCTCTTCCTGCTGCCACCTGGCTGTGGTAGCAGACATGCTCTCCTGGTGTGACAGGAGAGCACAGGTAAATTTTCATTCTGCCACAATTCACCCAACCTTCAGCCCAAGTGCCCTACAGGTGCTGTCAACGTTGCAAAATACAGAATGTGCAAGTGAGAGGTAAACTGCAGTTCTGCAACTGTCTCATTTAGCTATTTACTCAGCTCTTTTGTTTTCTATTTTATTAATGATTGTGTTTTACAAACATGTCAATTTTGAAATTTTTGAAGTTGAACGATGAGAACAGATAGTCTGTGCCTAACGAGATTTCTAAAAACTTATAACCTTCTGAGTCATTTCACTGCCTTCATACAATTACGAGGCACAGAAAGAGTCCACCTTTACAAGAAAAGATACTTAAAAGTTTTATGCAAGCTGATAATCCAGGTTGTATTATTCGATTTTATGTCATAGATGATAATCCACAAATATAGTAGCCCTGGCAAAATGGAAAAAGCACTTTACTATAAATCATAGACACTTGATAAGTAAAAGTACTGAGTACTTCAAACAGTTTTTAGAATCTCAAAATCAAGCATTTGTTAACATAAAATCGCTTTCAAGGGCCAAGGATTTAGCTCAGCGGTGCTGTGCCTTCCTTGCAAGTGCAAGGTCCTGAGTTCCCTCTCTGGTAATGGAGGAAAAATCAAAATCAGTCTGACTACTCATAAAAGTAGAGAAATATGAAAAGATAAAATGACTTTCAGTGAAAAGGTTCAGGAAGCAATCTACTTAAGAGTGCAACTTACAGCCATGCATGATGGTGTACATCTATAATCCCACACTCAAGAGTCTGAGGCAGGAGGATGGATTACCATGACTTCAAGACCCGCCTGGACCACATAGTGAGTTCAAGGTTAGTCTGAATTACAGACCCTGTCTCAAAACAAAAAAAAAAAAAAAAAAAAAAAAACTCAAAAAAGTACAACTTATTACCCAGAAGAGAAAAATTTACATGGTTGGTGCAAACCTAGCAAGGCCAACGTGTAAAATTATAGTAAATAAAATGATAGGGCAAAATGCACTCCGGGAAATTGAACATCTCCAGTTCAGAGGACTGGGAGGTAGCTCAGTGGTACTCAGCATGCACAAGGACCTAGGTTCAGTTCCCACCACCACCACAAGAAAAAAAGATTCCACTTCAAACCAGTATAATAGGTCAAAGCAATGATAACACATCACATAATGCTGAGATTTGTGTGAAGAGTTAAAAAAAACTAGCTTCTCGGGCTGGGGATTTAGCTCAGTGGTTCCACCACCTGCTTCACAAGAGCAACATCCCAAGTTCAGTCCCCAGCACCAAAAAACATAATAATAATAGCTTCTCTATTCAAGTTGAGGAATAGCAGGTTTCACAGGTGTCATGACAGATTTTTAAATAACAGTAAAATTTTAAGAAAGCTTTTCTGCTACAGAAAGCAACTTTTCTATTGCCCTAAACAAGCAAAGGTCAAAGTGTACTTCATGATTTATCTTCCTATCTGGAAACTAAGGGTTAATTTTGGGAGCACTGTGCTGAGCATGTCCCATTGATGACTGATCCTACGAGAGGTTAAATCTCACTTGTTTAAAAGGATATGCTGGGGGGCCGGGGATGTAGCTCAGTGGTTCCACTGCCTGCCTCGCAAGCACAAGCTCCCGAGTTCGATCCCCGGTACCAAAAAAAAGATATGCTAATATTACCAAGACACTAAAAACAGAGAGGTGTCAGTGTAAAACATTTCTTGGGGGGCCGGGGATTTAGCTCAGTGGTTCTACCACCTGCCTTGCAAGCACAAGGTCCCAAGTTCAATCCCCAGTACCAAAAAAAACTTTTTTCTTGGAGATGAGATGGGAAAAAATAAGTCTTGAATAATGCTACAAATATGCCTAACTTTACTAAATAAAGACTAGTTCACTAAAGAATGAAACTACATGAAACAAAAAGCCACCCATTCCATAGCTTAAAAACCATTTGACTGTCTCTTACATTCTATAACTTTTCAATGGGGTGTTTAAACTGAACAGTGAAGGAAGTACTTTCAAGAACATAAAGGGTACACGATGCTAAGTAAAAATGGAGAATTAAGGACTAAGTTTAAAGGCAAGTACAGTGTCCCACACCTGAAATCCCAGCACTTAGGGAAGCTCAGAAAGGAAGACTACAAGTTAAAATTCTGCCTGGGCAACACAGTGAGGCACTGTCTCAGAAATAAAAATAAAAAAGAACTGGGGATGCAGCTCAGTGTCAGAGCACCCCTTGGATCAATCCCCTAAAAAAAAAAACAAAAAAAAATTGAGCTTAGGAAAGCCTCTAGATCACAACAAACCATGGCTCCTGACATGTCAAAAACCCAAGTAAAAAGGCCAGCCCCAGTGGCTCATGCCTATTATCTCAGCACTCTGAAAGGCTGAGACAGGAGGACTAGAAGCTCAAACCTAGTCTGGGCAACTTAGCAACTTAGTGAGACCTTATCTTAAAGTATTAAAAAAAACTTTTTTAATGGCCTGGGCATATAGCTCAGTGCAAAGTCCCTGGATTCAATTCCTGGCACCATACACACACATAAAAAACATATATCGACATTAGCAATAATTTTACTAGCATATATTTGGTAATCTATGATACAAATGATCAAGGTCTATCTATTTTTTATATGTAAATATATGTAATTTTTATACCCCAATTAATTTCTTTTAAAAGATGTCTATATATTCATACAAAATACAAAGTTTCATTGAAATAAAAACTAGGAAACTAAAACCACAGCAATAGAAAAGTACAGGGCTGGGATGTAGTTTTAAAACACTTGTCTAGCATGCGTGCAGCCCTGGGTTCCTTCCCTAAGAACTGTTACAGTAAATAGAATTAAATTTCAAATTAATTTCATACCAGCCAAAATAAACAGAAAAATAAGAGGTTATATATTTTCCATTCTTCCATTTTAAGGAAAAAGGTAATCTAGTTCACTGGAAGCGATCACTGAATTCTGTGCATTACTTTGCTACTGTTTCAGTGATGTGAGTAGGAGTCCCACATGCAGCATTTCAGTAGACGGAAAGCTCTTCCGAGGAGACTGCCCAACGAGCACTCAGAGCAAATGGAGGTACACGGGTTCAGGGAAGCACGGTGTTACTCACCAGCCGGATGAGCTGTCTGTCCAGCCATCTAAGCACGTCTGGCCCTTCCTCTATTTCTGCTCTATATATTGCCAGCCGGGCCATAAGAATGGCAGCTGCCTCCTGGTCAAATGATGCAGCAATGTTCTGGATTTGAGTTTGAGCATCTGCCCAACTAAAGAAAAAAGAAAGCACAGAAGTATTGCTAATAGTCACAATATCATAGTTGGCTATCACACAGATTTAAATTTAAAATATACAAAAAACTATTTCAATACTTCAAAATTCCAATATCACCTGACAAATTATCATGTTTTTAAGTTGATAATAACTACTTCATCATAGTGTTAGCTATTTTTCAGAAGAAAAATACAACTAAATCTAAAAAATTTCTCTAAGTAATTGGACAGGCATAATTCCCACCACACTTTTTAAAGTATCAAGACTTTTACATGTGAACTAACAATACAGAGTCCACCAAAAAAATGTATACATCAGGAAAAGAAAAACTTGTATAAATATTTTAACACTAAATTAAATGAGCTATCGTGAGATTAACACAAGTTACTTTTGGCCTGTTCAATTACAAGAGGTGCTCAGAGAGGTGGTCATTAGCTTCTAGACATTTATTAGTATGGCAAACTGCTGAGGTGTGTACTGTTTTTGTGGACTGTGTATATTTCTGTGTATCCACACGCAGAGATACATCAGCCTCTGTCTCAGACTTCAGAATTCAACTGCATGAAAGCAGATCAATGGAAATACAAAAATAAAGGTTTTCACTCAGCCTAAGTAGTTCTCATTTATTAAACTGGAAAATTAATAAAATATCACAATTTCTCTTTGGTCTTTCATTCAATCATCAGTGATAAAGAACATAATTAAATTACTCTGTATTCTTTATTCTGTTAAAACATTCACTAAAAAAAATTAAGATTTTATCTGAAGGATTAATTTGATATTATACATAAAATAGCAGTAACTTATTAAGTTTACATGTTCTATAAGGCCACGCCAGTCAAACAATTGCTGAGTAGACCCAACAATAGTTTTTGTTTATTTAAAATTTCAAAAACAGTTTTGTAAT